AGAACTGGCTGAGCTGTTGCATCTTTACCCTGTGGCCAGAAGATCAAAGGTGCAAAACTCTCCATGGCAATTAACCCAGTAATTAGACCCAGGAGGAGGTGACTACATCAAGAGATGTGAGGTACGAAACTTTGGCTGCAAACCAACTGATTCTTCATATGCAATGGGCCAGCCCACCTGGGACACAGCCTACACCTCCCCAACAAAAGCCTCACAGGTCTCTGGGGCACCATCACCCTTTACAGCAGGAAGCCTTGGATAAACCTCAACCACTCTCAGATAAGTCCCTTGACTATACCCACACACCATGGCCAAGTCCCTCCCCAAGCCACTAGCACAGCTCCATGTGAGGTCTCTTGGGATACTGAGTGAAGAATCCCACAGAGATCTGACAGTTTACATCAGCGTGGGGGTTCTGCCTCCTCTTCCTGTCACATTTTGTCCACAGGCACAACCATTCTCCATCCTTCTCATCTGCTGCCATGCTGCTGGGGACATTGAGCCACGGAGGTGGCTGCCGGCATCCATGGGAGATAACAGCCTTGAAGGTGCAGAAGGCTAACTGCTCCTGATGAAACTCATCCTGGGCCTAACATGTGCTGTCTTTGGGAGCAGAACAGCAAATTCAGGCAATGTACAGAGGGTATTTAATAGCCTTGGCTAGGATCAGGCTACACTGTTACAAGGCTGCATGGGAACGTTCCCCTCTCCCTTGAGATGGGGGAGAATTAGGAAATATCTGTTATAAAACTTTCGAGAGCTCTCTGATATATGACCACTTTGCTCCCCATGAGCTGGAAGTCAGCCAGACTTTATGCTCACACCAGGGGTCTGTTTCAACAGCTCTTCTTGGTAAGCACTGGTCTTCAGGCTGCCAAGTGCTCACAAACATTGCTGTTCATGAAGCTATCATGGTTACAAACTCCTCTGAAAACTTCCATTTCCTTTACCTTTCCTCTTTTTTAAAATAATTCTTACTAGTCCTTGAAACAAATGGGAAATTAAATAACCCCCCCAACACCCAAATATACAGAGGAAAAGGGGAACACAGCCAATTGGACCAAGATCTTCATTTACAGAACATATTTTAAGGACTGGCAAAGAGTCAACTGTAAGGCTGCTGAGCTATATGGAGGTTAGATCTAATGCATAATAAACTTGACAGTGCTTCACTAGCCAAGTAGGGTGTTAGATTTCCAAACTTGGCTGTTTTGAAAGAAGAAAAGACTAATTTATCTTTCCAAATTTATCATCAACATGTGCGTGACCTGTCCTAACCCTCCTCCTTAAAAGTATCTCAGCTATGGTCATGGGCTGTGCAATAACACATTGAACATGTTACAAAGCTCCTTGTGCAAACACATCCATTCTGAGATACCTATTTCACCTGGAACCAAGCACTAGGCTTTCACTCTGTTAAAATCCAGCTGTACAGTGGATTTCAGATAGCTATAAATCTTAATCCAGCCTCTTAAGGTCAATGACAGGAAAGGAAGCTTTTAAATGGAAGTTGTCACCACTGAAGGTTTTCGGGCAGTGGTTCTCAAAGCCTCGGAAAAAGGGAGGCATGTAAGAAAATTGAGCCCAGACGTACACAAAGCATGCTTCTAGCCTTTGCCTTCTCCTAAAATACATGTGGATAAACGAGTTTTCAACTCAGTCACTGAGAGGCCCTTCCATAGACCTGGAGATCTAATTTTCACCAGTTTGCACCTCCTGCTCCATGGCCCAAGCTGTTCCTGGCAGTGGATATGACTTCTCCAAGCTCTAACTCAAAGAGCACAGATGCTGGAGAGCAGGAGTCAGGCAGCTGGCTAGACCACACAAGGACAAGAGGGCCTGGGGACTTCAGCATCAGACCAGGGGGGAAAAAATGGGCAGCTTGACAGGAAAGCAGGGTAGGGTGAGAGCTCTGGCAGCAATTGCTGTATCGGCTGAAGGCCAAGGTTTGTGCATGCACCAGTGGTGAGGAGGCATCGGGTGCTTACAAGTGCAGCAGCAAATTCTGCATTCAGTTCACACACAAGGAGACTTTATAGAAGTAAAAATGAGGTTTCAGCCCTCTTGTGCCTTAGGCAAAGGGATCTCCCCCAGCTCCTTAGCTGCTCACAGGCAGAGGAGACTGCAGAGAACTGCACAGGTCACAGAAGATGCACAAACCTGGCACATGCCAGCAAAGGTCCCAGAGGCACAAAGGAGCTTTGACAGTAAAGAAGAGCACAGAGGTAGGGGAGTGGGTGGGGAGGAGAAAGAAATACATTTTTGGCAGCTGAGATTTTATTGTCTGTCTTGTCCTGGCCTTGCCAAAATGTCTACAGAGATTGCAAAATGCACAAGCCCCGGATTCCTCCAAATCCTGGCAGGGTAAAGTGGTACCTGATTTGCAGAAAGGGGCAGAGATCTTAGCAAGAAGGAATGTGGGGTTGAAAGGTGAGGAAGAGGAGAAGTCAGCCTTCACCCTTTCCAGAGCTGTCACGCAGGTTTCGGTTCCATAATTTATTTTTCAGAATCACATTTTGTTCCATATTATATCATTAATGATATAGTCAACACGCTGTATTATTTATTCTGAATTTTTACACAGCTGTGAGCAAAACCTCTCTGGAGTCATCTGGAGCCAGACAGCCAACACACACTGCCCAGCAGCTCCAGCCTAACCCCAGAGATGCCGGACTTCATTAGGGAAATGCCATTCTCTTTGATTAGATACAGCCACTTACAGGATTTCACATGCAGATCTCTCAAAGAACACTGTAAATACATTTCTGATGCAGCCTCTGACCCTCCTAAGCCATGGCCAAATCCCCTCCACAGGAGGGACTGGCACAGAGTTTCACCAACATGCTGGCTGTGCTTGCCCAAGCCTTTGTCTGGCTCTCCTGGTGTGTCCTCTGTGCCAGCAGAAGCACTGACATGCCCATGTCACATGCAGGGCAGCATCACCCTCTCCCCCTCTGCTCAGAAAACCATAATTGTCCTTTAAAGCACAGAAGCCCTGGAAGCACAGGTACCCACACACTGCTGTGCTGTCAACACATGCCAGTGCTCAGGAATGTCAGAAGAGCACTCAAGCATCAGACATTTGCACCACCCTGGATTTGAGCTTCCCCTATGGGGAACAAGCTACTATAAAAACTTTGAAAACAACTTCGTGAAAGCAAAAACACACGACTGGCTTTTAAGCAACCTTATCCACTCAGGTCTTAGCACACCCCAAGTATTGCAGCATTTATCCCTTGAGCCACATTCCTGGCCCACACAGAGCTGAGGCTTCATGCAGAGATCCAGGTTAGGATATTCCCCTGGCAAGGAATCCTCCAGCAGTGCCTGTACACTGGGGAGCACTCCTGAGCTGGGTGTGGGTTTCTATGGTTTTGACACATTGGGGCTTCTTTACTCCATGAATGCAGCAAGAAAGGAGAGGAAGAAATAAAAAGAAAAGAGAAAAAAGCCAAGCTGAGGCAGGTCTAACCTCCTGGAGCTGGATTAACAGCTGAGAAATGCCAGGGAACATTCCTTGCTGTCATCAGTGAGCATCAGCCACTTGCTTCACAGAGCTGGGCATCTGCTCCTGCTCAGACACTGCTCATGCTGTGCCTCCTTCCTGCAGCACAGCAGAGCTGGCAGCACCATGGGAGAGCACACGCTGTGCCAGCACATCTGAGGTGCCTTTGTGCAACCTTTTGTTCACATCCCATGGGCTTAAAAACGAGGACTGGTCCTATGTGCACTTCACACACTACTTGAAACCTAGGGACTGACCATAAGTCTGCCAAGTAGGATAGAATATTTTTGCATTTGAAGGTTAAAAGCCACTAGAGCCAATGTATCTTGAAAGTAGATGAACTGGCTTCTGCTGAAGGAGCTGCAGGCTTTAGGTG